AAAGGTTTGCTTCAACATCATAATCACTTGACTCAGAACTAGAGTCACTTTCCTCCCACACAATGTAAGCTTTCTTTTTAAAGGATTTTCTTCTTTTTTATTCATCACTTCTTTTATTGTTAGGACAGTCTATTTTCACATGCCCTGTTTCACCACGTCCATAGCATTTGAAGTTTGGTGAAGATTCTTTTTTTTCTTTCCTCTTGCTTTTGAAAGGTTGCTTTCCTTTTTATTTCATGAACTTTGTGAACTTCTTGATCATGAGACTTAAGTTCTCATCTTCTTCATTTTCAGAATCTTCTTCTTCCTTCTTCTTCTTGCTTTTTGAGACCTCAGTCTTAAAAGCTAAGTTTCTCTTAATATTTTAGCCTTCCTCATCATTTAGCCTTCCTAATTCAAGTTCGTTCTCTCTCAATTTTCCAAAGAGAGCGTCATAGTCATAATTGCAAGATTTTGTGACTCCGTGATAGTAGTCACCTTAGGTTGTCATTTCCTGTCCAAAGATTTTAGTATTTTAACATTCAATTCATCAGTTTCAAAATTCTTACCAAGCCCAGAGAGATGGTTCACAATGTGTGGGAAACGCTTTTGGATGTCAAAAATTGTTTCTCCTTGTTGCATTATAAACATTTCATATTCTTGAATCAATGAGTTCTTTCTTTCTCTTTTCACATCATCGGTTCCTTCATGAGTCACTCTTAGTATTTTCCACATCTCTTGAACAATTTTACACACAAATATCCTGTAAAACTCATCAAGGGTCAAAGCAGATTAAATAATGTTTCTAGCCCTAACATCATATTGGGCCTTTCTATTTTCTTCAGCAGTCCATCTAGAAAACGGTTTTGGTTCCTCTTGTTAGACAAATGACATCTAGAGGGTGGTGAATAGATGCATAAATTGAAATAAATGTCAAATTAAAAATTAATTTTAAGATGTCTAATATTTATTAATTCAATTTTAATTATCGAATTGAACAGATATAACAAAAGCGGTATAATCAGAGAGATAAGGGAAAGAAAATAAGTTGATGTTATCACAGAGGTACAAGGAAGAGAAAAACACACAGTAATTTATACTGGTTCGGGTATAGTCAACCCTATATCCAGTTCCCAATCAACTCTTAACACAAGAGTGACCCCAATTCACTATCTTTTAAATTCAATTCACAAATTACAATCAACTCAGCAAAAAGTAAACTAATTCAAAAGACAATCACCTCCTTAGAAACCTACTAAGGATGAACACCTCCCTAGAATCCCACTAGGGATGAATACCTCCTCTGAACAAATCAAAGGATGAACACACCTCCTTAGAATCTCACTAAGGATGAACATCTTCTTAGAATTCCACTAGGGATGAACACCTCCTCTGAACAAATCAAAGGATGAAAACACCTCCCTGAACAAATCAAAGGGATGAACAATTTCCACACAGGAAACCCTAAAAAAAAGCACAACGAAATGACAGTGACTACTTAAACCCTAAACAGGGAATTTAACAATCAACTACTTAAGCCCACAAAGGATGAAGGTAATAAAATAAGAACAGTCACACCTGGGTAATGGAGATAATAAATTGTAGAAGCCTGTAGAATGCCAACCTTCAAGAACAACTGTGATTAACAATGAAAGCATAGAAGACAGTAGAGAAGAGAGTTTTCTCAGAAGGTGTAAAATATCTCTGTTGTCTTGCTCAAAATTCTTTTCTCAAAACTGATTAAATGTAAATTGTATTTTCGAATTCTGTAATTGTGTGTATTTTATTTTTCATCAAAACTCATTTAAATAGGAAAATAGCATCAGAAAATAGTTATTGGTCATTAATACTTTCGTAGAGAAAAAATCATGATGTATTCAAAAACATTTATTCTTCAAAACAAATATTTTTCAAATTTGAACTGTCATAATTGATTATGTTACCAATATAATCAATTATGACAGAGAAAATCGTTTTTCCATTTCTGATGCATCATAATTGATTATGACAATGAAAAATATCTTGTTACGAAAATTTATCAAACTTGTGTTTTGGAGGCTTATGCATAATATTACTTCATCAACTTGTACCTCCATATTCAGTATTCTAAGACTCTATCTAGTCTTTAGGAATCATCTTGGGCTTGCTTGAATCTTGAATAGAATCTTTATCAAATCATATCTTGGGATTGCTTGAGTCTTGAATGTTGTTGACTTGAATCATAATCAAAATCAACTATTGGGAATGTAGAGACATGTTTCACATTGCCATCACTTTTTCCCTCATTGCTTTCACCTCTACTTCATTTACAATCATTTTAGGAATAAAAGGACTGTTTACAATAGCTTCCCAAACGTCCCTGTCAACAGACTCCCAAAATATTTGCATCCTAACTTTTCAGAAAGGATAATTTTGACTAGCAAAAAGTGGCAGTATGTTAATAGAGACACCCTCAGCAAAAGTTTTGTTTTGTCCGGCCATTTTCAAAAATTTGAAAAACTATCAAAGCAAGTTCTGATACCACTTGTTGGTATCACGCAATGGAATATTTGCATTAAGACAAAAACCAAGAGGGGGTGAATTGATTTCTTATAACAATTATCCCTTTAAAAAATTTTCGCAAGATTTTACCGATATTATTATTATTTTAATATGTTAAATAGGCACACTTAAGTTAGAGAGATTTTTTTTTCAAATCAAGAAGAAAATAATTGAAAAGCAAATATTTTAAAAATAAAATTTAAATAATATTATTAAATTATTTGAATTAAATATAGTTAAAAAGTTTTGGTAACAAATGAAAGGTTAGATGAAGAAATAGGAAAACCACTTTAGCAAATGCTCTAATCAAGGAATTTCAAGTGGAAATAGGCACATGATTGCCAACAAACACCAGTAGTTAAGTCTTACCAAAACCTATGGGTCTAAAGTGTGAGCGTTAGGTGTTCAATAATAAATAAAGTTTATTGTAATTAATTTCGGAATTCCCTTCCCCTCTTGAGAAGCATATGAAATTATTACACCAAACCTTTAATTGAGATTAACACAATCAAATTAGTTTTCCAAAGCTTTGACGAATCATAAAGCCAGTTCTGTGTTTTGCATGTCAAGCTATTCTCCATTTATACTAATGTTATTTCTTATCAACTAATCAACTTCTTGTCGTGACTGAATGAAAAAGAGAAAAAAGCCTAAAACAGAGAAAATGGTACCTCAAAGTTATGTGTTATATATATAAACAAAAAGATTTTCTGCTTGTTCCATCAATTTTCTTTAACTAATATATTATCAGAAATGGGTAACGATCACTCTAGAGAATGCGTTTTCTTTTTGTTGTGGTATGCTACAAAATTAATTAACGAGGAAAAGGGTAATGAAATGTTTTATGGTGACGGGTTTTGTTAACGCTACATATATTATTAGTAACATGGAAATTAAAAATATATTTAAAAGAATTTGTATTTTATCAAGATGTAAAATTTTAGAAAAGTAATTGGTGTAATGCTTTTCTTAACAAGTTAAAAGTAGTAAGTGAAAGCAGAGTATCAAGCCACGAAATAATGATAAAAAAAATTAGAAGAGAACTTTATCTAAAACGCACACTAATTAACGTGTTATGATACCCTTCTTTATTAACATATTATAAGGTCAATTCTTAATCTTCCACATAACATGTGCACACGCTGTGAAGGGTCAACCAACACCCACGGCATGGTACTATACCCAGTTTAGCACACCACTGCCAGGTTTAGAATTAGATAAATTTTATTAGAATGTGTCAAATGGGTTTCTTACAATATTTTGCATTAATCAAAAGAAGTAAAGTTGGCTTAATCAGGTTATAGTCGTTGAAACTATACCCGAGAGAAAAAATAAAAAAACTTAATTTTTTAAATTAAGTGATGCTATATTCATTCAAAGAACACCGTAGGTTATCCTTTCCATATTTGGTCAACGTTCAGCTTCCTCACTTTATAAAAACCACTGCCATGTACACCGTTGGTCCTTTGCATTCATTCCAAGTATATGTGCCCAAATCAAAATCCTACCATCCCAGAACTGAAATATTTATCACGCAACATGATTCAGCTGAACTAAAAAATTAACCATGGACACAAAAGGAAAAACAAGAAAAGATGGTTGGAATCATTCTCATCTAAACAGTACTACAGATTGTAGTTTAAATAATAGTATACCCAACTAGAATGATTAAGATACATAACCCGCTGAGCGTCACTTACCCACATATATATTGTTATTATAATATTGCATGTGTTTTTAAATATCTATACTGTGTATAAATGATTGACTTAATTATGAGTTTTTGTATTTTTGGTTTTGGAATTCTAATTAATATTTATTTGGGGTGTATATAGTTGGGCAAGGGAAAATGAAAAAGAAAGAGTGAAATGGTGGGGAGATGTGTTTTTAGTGACATCAGCGGCGGTGGCGGCAGATAAGTCATGTGTGACTAAGGAATAAAAGATCATTTTCACTGCAAATTGCAAATGCCATTCAAAGTGAGGGTAGCTCTTAAAAAGCAAAAAATCCCAATCCGTAATCAAAATTTAGCGTTGGCGTTCCCCATTTAGGGCATATTAATGGTTAAAATCCTTTATCTCATTACTTGTGCACTTCTTTCCATTTCCATCACTCCAAAATTAATTTTCCAATTTCTGAAAACCCCGGGACCCAATTCACCCAACCTTGACCTCGCACCCTATGACAGCCGTTTGCTCCTGAGGCCAAGCGAGGGCACTTCCGTCATTCCACCCAAACCCTTTCCCACTTCAACACACTCTCTTTAAATACCAAAAGCCCACCACCATATTCACCTACGCTTGACCGCATCTCATTCCCCTCCCGGCGACTGAGTCGCGGTCTTTTCCCAACTCGGAACTCGCTCCGTTCCGCATTTCAATTTTTTCTTCTCTTCAAACCCCCACACAGAACCCCTCTCCTTCTTCTCTGTCTCAGATTGGAAGAAGGAGGTTTCAGACTTGATTCAGAAGAAAACAGGAATGGGCTCAGAACTGATTTTCAGAGGGCACGAGACCCAGCCCGTCGACGATGCCTACTCGCCCAAGCCCAACAAACCCTGGCTCTCCGTCGCTCGCCCGATTCGCTACATGCTCCGCGAGCAGCGACTCCTCTTCGTCCTCCTCGGCGTCGTCATCGCCACCTTGTTCTTCACACTCGTCCCCTCCTCTTCCTCTTCCACGCCCATCGTCCCCTACGAGCCGCTCTCGATCTCCTACTTCGAGCGCGAGTCCACGCTTCCGGCGTACCACCACCGCGTCGCAGCGGCTGTGCATTCAGTGGGGAAGGTGCCGCTCGGGATTAAGCGGAAAGGACTCCGGATCGTGGTGACGGGTGGCGCGGGGTTCGTAGGGTCGCACCTGGTGGATCGATTGATTGCGCGAGGGGATAGTGTGATCGTGGTGGACAATTTCTTCACTGGAAGGAAGGAGAACGTGATGCACCACTTTGGGAACCCTAGATTCGAGCTCATCCGGCACGACGTTGTGGAGCCTCTCCTGCTGGAGGTGGATCAGATCTACCATCTCGCTTGTCCTGCTTCCCCTGTCCATTACAAGTTCAATCCCGTCAAGACTATCATATCCTTTTTCTTTTAATTTTTTTTTTTGTGCGTTTAAGTCCTAAGGATCTAGCAATTGTTGTGGGAATTGGAGTTCTTAATTGTGCGTACAAGACCAATGTGGTGGGGACCTTGAACATGCTTGGGCTTGCTAAGAGAGTGGGCGCGAGGTTCTTGTTGACCAGTACCAGTGAGGTTTATGGAGATCCTTTGCAGCACCCTCAGAAGGAGACATACTGGGGCAACGTCAATCCGATTGGTTAGTACTAGTAGTAATAACATCCTTCTGTTACGTTCTACATATCTCCGGTCACCGCACTTTCTGGGCTTGGGCCCGGGCCTGGGGGCCCGGTCCTTGTTTAGATTACAATTAGAATGGAATTTAATTGAATTAGAATTGTCAGAGATACGCCTTGCTCTTGCATACTGTGAAACTTATTTTATGAGATTTTTATTTTTCTTAACGTAATTGGACGCGTGGAACCATGTTAGAGGACCACGTACTAGGAATTCCTGGTCAGGTCCCGTGATATGCGGGTCCACAAAAGGAAGGCTAGAGATATTTGCTGTGGTTGTCCTGGCATATATGGTGATTTTATTTCATTGTAGAGCGAAGTAGCGGTTAAACGGGAAAAGTAAAAGCCCGCGCTAGGAAAAGTGAAAGATAATGGCGGGTAGGTGGCGGTGGAACTGTGGAAGTACTTGTATGAACAATGGAAGGAGGAGGGGACCCAGAACGCTCAATAATTTTAATTAATTTATTTATTTATTAATTTTGGTACAAGAGCTGTAAAAATGGGGCTCGTTTATGGTTGTGAATTGTAATGGATGATTTTGTGATTTTTTTGTGGGTGCATGGATGCGTGACAGGTGTCCGAAGCTGCTACGACGAGGGAAAGCGTACGGCCGAGACGTTAACCATGGACTACCACCGAGGTGCCGGCGTCGAGGTCATTTTCTACTGACCTAACTAACTCTTTTCTCTCTTTCATAGTTTTTCATTGCTGTGTAATTCAGCTGTTGAGTTGTGTTCAGCATTTACTTGATTTGATGGGTTTTTCAACTTTTATGAAAATTCAAACGGCGCCTCTTATCTTATCTATTGTATTTTTCAGGTTAGAATTGCTAGAATCTTTAACACCTACGGACCCCGGATGTGCTTAGATGATGGTCGTGTTGTCAGTAACTTCGTTGCTCAGGTTGGCCTTTTGTTTATTTGAATTAAGAAGAAACATGTTTTTATTGGCTTTATTTGTGTAATAGTTGTCTCTATTTGGTGATCTTACTGCAGGCACTAAGGAAGGAGCCTTTGACCGTTTATGGGGATGGGAAGCAGACAAGGAGTTTCCAGTATGTCTCTGATTTGGTAAGTGAATAGTATCTTTCTTACCACTGGCTTAACACATGCATGAAAATGCTTAACGTATCCTCCTCTCCCCCAATCTATGGTGCTTGTTGACAAGGGTTGAATTTAGATTACTGGTAGATTTGGTCATTTTGGGATGTGCATGCTGCAAATCTAAGAGAAGCAATTCAAGGATTTCTGAAAAGGGTCTTTTCCTTTAGTATATTACAAAGTTCGTCCGTGTGTTTGATTGAGTCATTCATTTTGCATACTCGTGTGTGATGTTATCGGTGGCTAACTTCGCTGAAGAAGCATTTGCACGTGACTGGAAGTGAGTTTGAAGGACCATGTGGGGCAGTTTACTCAATAATGAAGTTCACAAACTCAACACTGGAAAACAATAGAGTACAAACCTTAATAGATAAGAAAAAAAAAAGTGACAGTGTCGTTGTAAATTAAATATGAATATGAATCGTCAATTAAATATAAATGTTATCGTCAATTACTTGGGTTATGGTCTAGATCAGCATGCAGTGAGATTGTTGCCATGCCTTTAGAATCTAACTCAATATGCCACTATTTGCTGTATTAATGTGATGTTTATGTTGGTATAGGTGGAGGGTCTTATCCGCCTCATGGAAGGAGAACACGTGGGGCCTTTCAATCTTGGAAATCCGGGAGAATTTACCATGCTTGAACTTGCCAAGGTAAAGTTCGTTTTTTTTTTTTGCAAGAATATTTTATGAGAGGGGTAAGCTTGAAACTTTCGTATTTTTATACTAGGAGAAACTGCTCGCTCACAAGAAAGTGCAAAGATTAAAAGGAAAGAAAATTGCTTTAGCATGTGCATTCTAATAAATCTGAAACGCATATAAGTTAAACCTTACTCACGGAAACACGTATACATCATTCTTTGAATGGGCTACTCTCAATTTCCTGCGCAAATACAACATGGTGCAGTTTGACTTGTGTGGCACGATTGTTTTCTAAATTCTAGATTTTTATTCGTTTTTTACTTATGTGGGTTCATATGAACTGTGATAATTTACAGGAAAAACCTGTATTGTTGTCGGTGGACTTGATACCTTAAGTCTCACAGCTTATAGACCCCATTAATTTAATGCATCGATCTAGTTGTCCCTTTTTTCGTTGTGTAGATCAATATACATTCATTGAAACTAGCTTTGTTGGTTATACTGATGTAGGTGGTTCAAGAAACAATCGACCCTGATGCCAGGATAGAGTACAGGCCCAACACAGAGGATGACCCGCACAAGAGAAAGCCCGATATAAGTAGGGCTAAGGAGCTACTTGGGTGGGAACCCAAGGTCGACCTGCACAAGGGTCTCCCACTAATGGTTTCTGACTTCCGGCTACGCATTTTTGGTGACCACAAGGAAGGGGCAACCGTAGCCTAATTGTTGCCTGGAGTATGTTACATCTATCTTAGAGTGAGAAAGGGAAAAGGATAATATAGTTCAAGGATAACCCTGGCCCTGGCCCGCAAAGGTCCATTAGTCACAACATTGTATGAGCTCTTCTAAAATGTCCTGCTGTCGTTTCTTCCCTTCCGTCAATCTTTGTATGCGGGGATATTTACCCTCTTTCAAGATTAACAACCACCCATGATTCCTTTTTTCAAATTCCTGCCATCTATATTCTATTCTCTATTTTTTTTTTTAATGTAATTGGTATGTGCTCTTCGTTACAATTATAGTTATTTCAACAGTTCACCTTTCACTTGTTCTATTTTACTCCAACTTCAGTACTCCACGACTTATTTGCAATTTGATCGTACTACACTCATGTTAAAATTATTGCGATAATCAACAAACTGGTCTTATAATAACAACATAATCCTTAATAACAAGGAACCGTGTTAAATTACTATGAACCCCACAACATGGATTGCCATTGTGAAATTCTTCCATTATGATGTCCCCTGTGAGTTCCTACTGAATAATGATCCCGTCGGTGATAACTGAGGCCATCATACGAATATTAATCATTATGCGCCTATGCATAGATGCTTGTGGACGTTTTCCGGAGTATAAACAAGTGGGTCTTAGATGAATATCAGAAATTTATGTTTAACTTGAGAAAAACGTCATAGTGGCTTTGAGATTAGATTACATGTGGTTGTTCATCAAATGATTTTTGGCAAGTGCTATTTTTATTCAAAGTCCAGTCTTTGATGATTATACCATTTTAGGGACATTATTGGTTGGTTAATCTGTTAGTGATGGGAAGTCTCCATGAAGTTAAGTCTTTCACATATATTATTGTATTACACGATTTCACAATGATGCACCATTTTGATTGTTTTTGAGTTTTTTTCTTTTTTAATTTTGAAGTATGTCATTATACTTTTTGCATAACTTTGTTTGGTTAAACTTTATTTTTACTTTGATTTTCCTTTCATGGTTCATCGTTTTCACGCATGTTTTAGGTCATTTTCTAAATACTTCAAGTATTTGATATATTTTTCTGGATTATGTAGCAATTTGATATATCCATCCATACATATATCTAATTTTATTTATTTAAACTTATTTTATAATTTTTCATTATTTCCGTAAAATATATAGTTCTTTTCATAAACAAATTAATAACTTTTGTTAAGATATAATATCTTCTTCATTATCATCATTTAATCTTGTATAACCAATGAGATGTTATTCTTTCATTTGTATGATCAATTAGATTCAATATTTTCATGCATTGTTATATAATATTTTATATCAATTATTATCTTTTAGATAATAAGTTATTATTTTTTTTGTTATTATTATCTTTTAGGCCTCAATTAGGAAGTAAATTCACCTTATCATTCATTATCAAATATATTACTCTTTTATTTAAAAGTTGACTTGCAAGTTAGAGTGTATTTTACAAATGAGTCTATTCTCTTTTTAAAAGAAGTTTTTTTCAACCTTCTCAAAATCACATCTTGGAATTTGATCCATCGATCTCCTCACATATTCTTATTGTGACCTTTGTTTTTTTAAAGGAAGCTACTTTCAACCTTCGTGAAGTCATAACTCAGAATTTGATCTATCGATCTCCTCACATCCTCTTGTCGACCTCCACTCGTCTGTTGGAAATATTACTTTATTATCTTTTATTTAAATTAGGTATTAAGAGATTTTATTATCTTTTAAGAAAGAAGGTAAAAAGATATTAGTTTATTATTTTGATTTAGGTAATTATGATTGAGATATTATTGATATTTGATATTTTGTAATATTTTTACTCTATGTATACATAGAATACATGAATAAAAATATACCTACATGATATATCAGAAATACACATATACAAAACCCTAAAAATTTCCATCAGTGGTATCAAGAGCTTTGGTTCGATACAATGAAAGGAGAAAGAAATTTTTCACAAGTTGCTATTTTAGTTTTTGATGGCGAAAGTTATGACTTATGTGCTATGAGAATGCAATTTTATCTTGAAGGATTGGATGTATGAGAAGATGTGGAAGAAAATTATATTGTTGATCCGCTACCTGAAAATCTTACCATAGCTCAAATGAAATTTTACAGAGAAAGAAAAACGAGGAAGACAAAAGCTAAATCATGTCTGTTTGTTAGTGTTTCACAAATGATCTTCACCAGAATCATGACGCTAAAGTCACCCAAAGAAATTTGGGATTATTTGGAAGATCAATATGAAGGGGATGAGAAAATTCAAAGTATGAAAGTTCTAAACATGATAAGGGAATTTGAGATACAAAAGATGCAAGAGTCTCGAACTATTAATGAATACTCAAACAAATTGTTGGGTATTGCTAAAAAAATAAAATTGTTGGGTATTGCTAAGAAAATAAAATTGTTAGGCAAGGAATTTTCTGATTCCAGAATAGTTGAGAAAATTTTGGTAACTGTGCCAGAGAGATATGAAGCATTTATTGCTTTATTGGAAAATACAAAGGATTTGTCTAATATTACTTTGACATAAGTGCTACATGTTTTACAAGCGCAAGAGCAACGAAGATTGATGAGAGGAGATCATGCTGCTGGTAAAGGTTCTTTACTATATCATGATGGAGGTTCTCTCCAAGCCAAGAACAACAAAGATACAAAATCACGAGTCTTTTCTGTTTGTCCTTATTGCAAGAAAAATAATCACACACCCAACAAGTGTTGGTGGAGGCCTGATGTGAAATGTCGAAAATGTGGTCAATTGGGACATATAGAAAAGATATGCAAATCACAACCAGAAGAAACCGTCAATATTATAAAGGATGGAGTAGAAGGAGAACTTCTCCTTGCATCAACATGTTCTACAATCAACAAATCCACAGGTTAGTTTATAGACAATAATTGTACAAACCACATGACTCATGATCGAGAACTTTTTAAAGAGCTCAACGAATCACATATTTCAAGAATGAGAATTGGTAATGGAGAACAAATGGACCTGAAAAGTACAAGAACAATTGTAGTTCAAAGTCATTCGGGTATCAAATTAATTTTTTATGTTTTATATGTTCCCGATATTAATCGGATTTGTTAAGTGTTACTCAATTATTGGAGAAAAGTTATAAGGTGTCTTTTGAACACAAACTTTGTGTGATTAAAGATACAAATAACTTGGAAATATTCAAAGTTCACATGAAAGGAAAAAGTTTCACTTTAGATTTGATGAAAGAAAAGTTTATTTACAAACAAGGATATAAAAGAAAAGTCAAAGAAAAAGCATGAAGAAAATTTCTTGAAGGAACTTGATGTTAAGGAGGAAAATAAAGATGTAGATGAAGAAACCGTTTTCAACGTCCATCCATGAAGAAGTTTGAAAGAACACAAAGGAGATGAAGTTGATAAAAGAAAAAATACTTTGATGAAGAAAATGTTGAACAAAGATGTGATCTCATACAAAAAAGAATATGACAAGAAGTACAAACGAAAAATGAGAAAAAATTATAAGCAAAATAAAAGAAAAAATATCAAATTCAAATAAATAGATATTAAAGTAAAGAGGAATGTTGAGAATATTACTTTATTATCTTTTATTTAAATTATGTATTAATAGATTTAATTATCTTTTAAGAGAGAAGGTAAAAATATATTAGGTTATTATTTTGATTTAGGCAGTTATGATTGAGATATTATTGATATTTGATATTTTATTATATTTTTACTCTATATATACATAAAGTACATGAATAGAAATATACCAACATGATATATCAGAAATACACATACAAAACCCTAAAAATTCCCATCATCGTCTAGTAAGAACATTTGACGCTCATCGTGGGGTATTGGTAAAACGATCCCCGTGATTTCTTCCATCCCATGTAAGTCATACAATCTCAAATTCAAATAGTACAATGGATCCTACAATCATTATGAACAATCTCAATAAACATATAGACAAATGCTAACAAAAAAATCATGAAGAAATAGAAAGCCTGAAATAACAGAATGATGCTAAACTCAAGCAAATTCAGCAAAAAGCGGCTGAAGAATTGGAGTTGGTCCAGAAATAGCACTAGGCTGAGCTCCAAATGCTACAAAGCAAACTAAAGGTTCTCACTAGACAATTGTTGGTACAAACCAAAGAAACACGTATGACAATCCAAAAGTCATATTAGAAGGCAAAGAGTCACCCTAAACAAAGATGGGAAAATTCCTCTGAGCATAATACGAAGTCGTCAAGTCAAATTGTAAGGAGCCATCCTAGGGAAAATATTAGGCTAAAGGACATTAACAAAACAACAGTTGAAGTCTCACCTCAGAGTTCTCACTAAGAATTCACAGTTAAAATTTTACCTCAAAATCATCAAACAAACTCATAACATACACAAAGAATCAAAATATGTGAAAAGGTAAAGAATCATGGAAACTTCTCTCTCGAATAATTGGGAACCACTTATGTTAAAGAAATACGATGGTTTAATATATAGAGGATAATATGGGAATGTACAAAGTACAAGTAAATCTATATACAAAAATAAAGTAGTCTTGTGTCGTGTTTTCCCACCACATTACTTGGATTGACCCTATGATGGCACTACTCTCTACCATACAACTCAATCAATTCATATTACACATAGTAGAGGGGTTTCGAGTTTGGTTTGCAACCAACAACATGCATGAGACCACATTTGTAGCATTGGAAAGTGTTAAACAGGGCAAGGGTGAATCCCTTTGAAATTTTAGGGTGAAATGGAGTGATTCATAAAGGTGTTGAACTCCATACTGAATTTAAACTCGGTTGTTGCACTAAATGCAATACAATTTGTTGTATACCCAGGGCCTTTAATTTATAGTTGTTTTACTTTTCCTCATGATCCCTTTAGGAGCTGCATGCCTAAGATAATGACAAATTTAAAGATAAGAAAGTTATCACAAGTCAGTCATTTATAGCACAAGCCTCTAAAAAATCTAGGTAGCCAAGTTTGAATAATACACTCCTCAAAATGCTCATAGAGAACACATATTGCAAGAGACTTTTAAACTTGAATTGGTGCATGCATCACCACCTCTATCATTTTTGGCTCATGCTGATACCACTAAGTATTGTCATTTTCATCATAATTATGAGCATACTACCGACCAGTGCCAACGAGTTAAAGATATAATTGAGGAACTCATCTGATCTGGTTCTATTACACACTTCATTCGCATCGACTCAAAGTTATAAAACTTACATACATTATACCTTACTTGAGGACACATAAGTATAAAAATTGTACCGTACTTGGGGTTGTATGAGTGTAAAAATTATACCTTACTCCGGATAACATGAGGAAAAATTTTACCTTACTCGGGGTCACACGAGTATAAAAAGTTGTACTTTACTCGAGGTCACATGAGTATAAAAATTATACTTTAGTCGGGATCACATGAGTATAAAAGTTATACCTTACTCGGAGTCGCACAAGTATAAAAGATTGATGGGTCTTTCGAGGGAGTATTCACTTAGGAGAGACAACACTAATGAGACATGAACACAACTCACATAAGGGATTGACACCGCCTTCAACCCAATATCTTAAGGCATTGGGTTATGAGTCTTTCCTCCTTATATGTTGCTTAACTTCCTCCTTCTTACTCAATGTGAGACTTAGATTTACACTTGGATTTTCTAATAGATTTTCCCTCCTGCGAGCTAAAACAAAACTTCGTCGATCTAGAAAATGATTTTCATTTGTCATGTGCAGGTACTATAATTATGAAGTTATAAAACTTTTAGTTCATAAACTATGTTAATGTTATTCTCATGACTCTGAGTATAATTTTAAAATGTAGATTTGGATAACTTATACACCCGAATAAGGTATGTATGTTCGTGTAACCCTAAGTAAGGTATATATATGTTTTGATAACTCATATACCTGAGTAAGATATATATAACTCGTATGATCCAAAGTAAAGTATATATAACTCGTGTGATCCCGAGTAAGATATAAGTTTTATAACTCGTATGACCCAAATAAGGTACATCTTTTTATATTCACGTGACCCTAAGTAAAATACAACTTTCATACTCGCATGACCTCGAGTAAGGTACAAACTTTTATAACTCGTATGACCCTCAGTAAAGGATAACTTTTATAACTCGTGTGACCCGAATAAAGTACAATCTTTGATGAAAAAAAATCATGAAGAATATTAATGTATTTATCCCCGAGAATTACCCTAATATAACGTGGAAACTTCAAAATTGAAAAAAAAAACACAACAATTATCAATTGATAACTAGAGAATAACATTCTGTAAACATTTTTACAACATATAAACCACTCTCCCATGCTCTTTGACCCCAAATACACCTACACTCTCAAAAGCAAGAATTTAAATAAAACCTTGCAATACTCTACTACAAGAGTATAAAAAAAGTTAAATACAAGCGTAAAATATTTTTTACTCGAGTGTCAGAACATCATGAACTTTAGGTTCATTATTAGCTACTATCACCCACTTTATTTCTTATTCTAAGTGATGTGGGACTTCTCAAGATGTATTATTTTTATCAACAAAATAAAGTTTCCTCTCTAAATATCACTTAAGGTCGTTTGGTCTTCACATGACAATCTTCTTGAGCTCAGGGACTGATGGGAGCCCTATCGATTTCCTCTCCCCTCTTCGTAAATTTTTTGACTTATTATCTTTGCATGAAAAATAAATAGGCTCTATTGAATAAATATCACAAATATATCTCGGTCTAATTGAATAATAGTTTGTAGGATAAACATATGCAAACTGAACATTATTTGTCTACATGATAGAATGATCAACTCAACCTTAAGCTCGTTTAACCTCTGTAAAGGAACTCGACCTCTGAGCTTGAGGGACTTGTATACCTAGTCGATCCAAGTCCATTAAAATCATTATATTTGTTTATTTTTCTTGTTATACATTATCTTATTAATTATTTTTATCTGTTATTTTTTTGTATAATATCTTATATTGGTTATTATTATCTACTAGGTCCTATATAAGAAAACTTAATAAAGAAGTAAATCTCATGTCATTACTCATTGTCATAATATACACTGCTCTTTTGTCTAAAAACTGTTTTGAGCGTCAAAGTATCTTTTACATATGGGTCCCTACTATTTTCAAAGGAAGTTATTTTCAACCTTCTAGAAATCATAACTCGAAAGCTGTTTTGAGCGTCAAAGTATCTTTTACACATGGGTCCCTGTTATTTTCAAAGGAAGTTATTTTCGACCTTCTAGAAATCATAACTCAAAATATGATTTACTGATCTCCTCATATCCTCTTGTCAATCTTCATTAGTCAAAGATACTTTTGTTATTTTTTAAAGGAAACTACTTTCGACCATCTTAAAGTACCAATTCAAAATTTAATTTATTGATCTCTTTATAGTCTAACCTCACACCTTCTCATATAACTCCACTAGTCTATTAAGAACAACAAAGAATCGGGAACATTCTCAATATATATTTAATTTGAAAGTTTTTTCTTTTCTTTATTCATTAAATCGATTTCAAATGATTATTTTTTAAATAGTTTTTTCTTTTGATTTATTTTTAAGAAATCGTTTCTAAAAAAATTTCTTAAAAATTATTTAAAAAATATATTTTAAAATAAACAATAAAATATAATAGCATAACCAAAAGAGAGCCGAAATCGTTTCTAAAAAGAATTTCTTAAAAAATATTTTAAAAAAATATTTTAAAATAAACAATAAAATATAAAAACATAACCAAAAGAGAGCCCAAAGTGAACAAATGAATTGACTACTGCTACCAATGGTATGGATTATTTATTTTAATATCATTTCAAGATAAAGAAAATAAAATAGTAAGTTAAACAAATTGTGAATTACCAATTAGTTAATTTAAGAGAAACATATATTAGAAAAGGTAGACTGTATGTTAAATATACACACGTTTAGCCTTTGTTTTGATATTTTCAATTTTCAAGTTGGCTCTAACTAAACAGTGTTTTTTTTTTCTTCTAAAGGGTGTAATTTTTTTTTTAATTTACCAAAATAAATAAATTTTAAAAAATTTCAAATTTAGATAAATAGAATTTCTAAGGTATATATTTTAGATTAATTTTTTTTTCAATTTCATATTATTAATTTGAATGGTAATTTAATGTCATTATTTTTAAAAATGAATAATTTTGCTAAATTATCTATAATATATATATATATATATATATATATATATATATATATATATGATACAAGACATAAATATATTGATGTACTTAACAAAAATCAAATTTGTTGAAAATTAAATTGAGATTGAAGTCACACATTAAAATTTGAGTAACTTATAAGTGAAAAAAACTTATAACCAAATTCTTTAAGGTTTTGAGTTGAAGGTGGTGACATACTCTTTTATATGGTTGACTTGTGTCTCATTTGTGAGAATCTCCCTATTATTACTCTCTCTTGTTGATAATTCGTGTAGTATCTGGCTTAGTTGAGTACAATTAAAAGCATGTGAAAGATCCTATATTTATTATAGATCTTTATATTGAAATTTTTCCTGACAAAGGTTTCAGGCAAGCGAGTACTGGGTACTCACATTTAAAAAAATATTTTCGCTCGAGGGGGTGGTGTACTAATGTAAAAGGGAATCACACTTAGGAGAAAATTGTTAAGAATTTAAGTGTAAGTTTGAAGTCCCACGTTAAATAGAAATGAGAAAGTTGAGTAACTTATAAATGAGAAAAACCTATAACATAATACCTTAAGTTTTTGGGTTGAAGGTGGTGTCATACTCTCTTGTATGATTTGTTTGTATTCCATTTGTGAGAATCTTCCTGTTATTAGCCCCTCTTGAAAGTCTCAACAGTGGTATCAAGCCGATGGTTCATGTGGTGACTGACTCAGTTGAGTACGATGTTGAATAACTTATAAGTGATAAAAATTCTTAACCTAATATTTTAAAGTTTTGCATTGAAAGTGGTATCATACCCTCTTATATGGTTGACTTTAGTCTCATTAGTGGGAATCTCCCTATTATTAGTCTCCCTTAAAAGACTCAACAAAATTGACAAAAAAAAATTATATATATATATATATATATATATATATATATATAAACTATTTAACCAACATGTTAAGATTTTTTTCAATGTCATTATGAACTTTTATGGATACTACTTGCACGAGATCCAAATGTGGAATCATTAAAGGAGTAGACAAAATGTGGTTTGTAAGAGTGATCATCCAACCAATCTATAATGTCTCTATACACAAGTGCAATGTTTTCATCACTCTCTCCGCTTGCTATGCCATGACACATTCCTTTATACAATTTAATGGTCTTGTCTTCGCAATTAGCTCTCTCATATAATTCCTTGCTCATGGTTGGATCAGTAACTGTATCATCCTCTCCTTGCAACACTATAAATGGAAGTGTGACCTGCTAAAACATTGAATCATAAGTCTAAGATGTTATTTTATTTTTAAGTCAAAACTAATGTATTTAACAAATAATAATCTATAAAGCACCTCATGTAGAATATCTCCAACACCCGAGCTTGCTCTTATCATTTCCATTGCTGTTTTTAGTCTGGGTTTGTCTTGATATATCAACTTGTTATTTCTTATCTGCAATCATTATCAACAACTAATTATTGCACTATAAAAAAAGAATTACAATTCACTATTGAATAGTCTCAATCACTTGTAAGATTGAAATTTCATTGATAAAAAAGGACATTAAGGTATTATTGGATTTGAAGAGAAAATAACATTGAAAATATCTCTTCCAATCCACCTCTTTTTCATCATGTGTATCAACCACTACAGAAACCTCACCGCTTGTTTTTTGGCAGGATTTTTGAAGGCAGAGTCAATGATATTCTTTGTGGGGACTATTTTCCACTTGGGTATGATATCTTCAAACTTCGTCATTACATTCACAATTATAGCACTTTGCTTTATTAGTTTTTCTGATAGCTGCTACATTTGCACAAATTTGTGTTAAGCTTTTGTTAGTCATAAACATTGTATGTTGCAAATGGAGAGAAAAACAAGCTTTTAATAAATGTCCATATGCTCTCACAAAAAGATTTTATACCTTGAACATAGGTGCAATAAGAATTGCTCCATCCCAAAATGTCGGATCCCTTCTATGTAATAATAAGCACACAGTTCCTCCCATTGAATCCCCAAATAAGAATCTAGCTTTTGGTCTGTACTCTGGGAGTTCTAAAACAACCAATGAAAAAGTAATTCAACATAAGAAGTTTCAAAACATCTTAATATTGTGATTATTATATATAAAACAAGACATTGAAACCTTACCACAAATTGTCCTGAAAAAGTTTTCACAATCATCAACAATGTCGTCAAACCTAGTTATGAAACAACGAACACCTCCAGAACGTCCATGTCCTTCATAATCAATTCCAAACACTGCATATCCAGCACTGGCTAACCTTTCACCACACTCTGGATGTATAACAAGCAATAATTTATGCAATAATCTACCATGTATTCAATGTTAGAGTAATAGTTTGTAAGAACTACTAAATAATTAAAAAATATACTTGTGATAGGAAATGTCATGTATTGAGATACACATTACAAATGTAGATATGTGAATTCTTATTCCTTCCAAACTCCCATCAAATCATATTGATGAAACCAAACACTATTTTTCTCCTTTTTTTTATTTCATTACTATTATATGAGTATTAAGATAAGATTCTTAATTGAATAAGAGACCACCATTTTTTGGGTAATGTTAGATACATTGCCATTTGTGATTACATCCCTCAAAATAAAATATAAAAAAGTTAATTTTGTATTTTTCTTTCTTTATTTAAAAATGTTTGAATATATAGATTGATTAAGCTCTAATTTGTTCATGGTTTAACCAAGAAAAAGCTCAAGATTTTATAATGGTTAAGTTGCATCTTTTTAAGTTTTGAATCCATCTTAACAAGGAAGTTATTTAGAATCATGTAATATATAGCAGAAAACAACTAACAGAAACAAAAAGAGAGGAGAAAAAATAGCAAAGAAATGAAAATAGTAAATCAACAAAGAACATGTCTTACCTCTCATGAATGTGCTACATTCCATGGCATAACCTGCAATAAATAATTAGAAAAGACAAGGTTAACCTAATATGCGGGAGAGAGAGAAGAATTTGCACCTAATATGAGAGGGAGAGAGAGAAGAATTTGCACCATGACAAAGGAAAACAATGGCCTTTGGGGTAGAAAAGGGCACCCATCTACAGGTGAAGAGTTGCAACTCCTTTGACTTTTTCATGTATACCTAAAATATGTACAATGTTTACAATTAATTAAACAATCACATGCATGAAAGAAAAAGAACTGAGTCTAAGAATATGAAAAGAGGCAGGCTCTGAGGAATTACTTCAAAATATTTGAACCTAATATCCATGACGATAATGTGGTGGGGGTTATTATATTTTACAATATTTTGATATTTTCTAACAGGTATAAAAGCAAGTGGGGTGGTGATGAAAATTTGTACTGTTTCTAACTGCTCGCCCACCCCCCTTGGTGTTGTGATATGAGCCAAGTTTGTTGGGGGGATGAGGAGGATGGGGCTTACTCTTGTTTCAATGACAAAACACACAACCAGTGATATTTGTTTGAGATTTATCATTGTTCATTATCTATTTTGAGTTTGAGAATGTAAAAATATAAAAATTAATCATTGGATAATTAAATCATGTTGTATTTGTAGAGAGTGTTATTCACAAACTCCATTCTCAACTAACTTGTGGATATTACGCAAACACACATTGTCAATATGGTTCACAAATCTATTATTACCCTTTTTAATCCGTTACAAAAAACCAAGCAAAAAAGCTAAAAATGGCAACAAGGCATCAGAGGAGAGTGAAATAGATGGCAAGAGGATATAGTTATGGAGAATATAAAGGAGATATAGTTATTCTGCCTTTTATTCTCTAAGTTTCTAGATTCATTCGTTGAATATTCCAAAATGGGTTGAGTGTGAAAATTTCATAGCAAAGAAAAATTATAGGTGGGAAAATCGATTTAGTTTCATAAGAATGTTGGGAGTAAAGGGTCCAAAGACAATGGGAAAAAAACACTAGAATATGAAGTTGAGAGTGAATCTATGAAGGAAGATGAACACAAACAAGCATAAGCAACAAAAGGATTTTTGAATTATATATATATATATATATATTTTTTTGTGAAATCAATATTCCCACCTCTTTAGTGGGGACTTTATAGGTTACTTGTGATTCCAGTAGTTGGTTTGTCTTTCAAAAACACAAATGTTAGATGTGAGTGTAAATATTGATGTAGAATATTACCACCATAAATTGTAGGGATTGTCTTTGAGAGGAGTAAGGTGATAGTTAAGAAATGAGTGATAAGTTGAGGCAGAATTAAGTGGAAGGATAGAATTAGGGTAAATGAAGAGTGATAGTTAAGACCAAAGGGAAGATTGAAGTAGACTTTAGTTATTAATGATTGTATGTCCTAACAAATCGTATGGTTTCACACTTAGTTTAGAAGACATGTGAGGACTAAATTTCCATTTTGGCAATTTTACACTCATCTCTCAATTCAAACTTTAGACATAAGATTCCATAGAAAATTTTGTAATTTTTAAAAATTTAAATATATCAAATTTAAATTATTTTAATTTTAATTTTTTTTTCAAATGATTTGTTTAAATAAAGTAATTCAAATTTATTAAATTTTAATATTGTTTTTTAGATAAAATATTTTTATTATAATTAAATAAACAAATTATTATAATTACATATTTTATTTGGGTCTCTAATTTTGTACTTGACTTTAATTTACATGGATTAGCTTAGACTAAGGTGGATCATGAAGGGTTAGATTATGTCAAGTCAAATTGAGACAAACAGTAAGGTCAGACTTATATTAAGAATGTTGGGTTAAGTCAAGTCAAGCTAGTCAGGTAAGGTTGGATTAGGTCAAAATAAGTTGATACTAGTTGAGTTGTGTGAGGATGATTCAAACTATGTCATACTGAGTTGAGCCATCTTGGGATAAATCAAAATGAGTCAAGTAGTATCAGGGTAAATTGAGACAAATCAAATCAAGTTAGGTCAATTAGGTTGAAACAATTCAAGTTGGATTAGAATGAGACAAGACTGATAGGTCCAAATCAGACATATTAAGTCATGTCATGACAGGACATGCCGAGTCAAGATGAACTAGGTTGAGGTAGGAAGGGTCGGATTGGCTAAGCCTTGTTTGGACAATTAAGTCAAGCCTAAGTAAGAAAGGTTGAATATGGTCAACATAGATCAAGTTAAGTGGTATTGAGTCAAGTTGAGATGAGTAAAATTTGATCATGTTGAGTAATGATAAACAAACTAAAAAAGATAATCATAGTCTAGAGAGGTTAAATACGAATGAATATTTTTCGTACAAATCAAAACAATTCGGATTGAGATGAGATAACTTTGTTGATTATAATAAATTTATTTTTATTAGCCTAATTTAGTCATATTTTTCTAACTTAAACAATTATGAAATAAGTTAATATATGCATGAATTTGAAAAGGAAAAAATAAAAATAAAATTCTTAGTTTTAGATAAAATTTGATTTATTTTATTTTTAAGTAACTAATTACAAAAATTCTTCAATTTCAATTATTTTTAATATTTTTTTATCCAAATAACAATTTTTCATCATAATATATTTTAATTTTTTATTAAAACAAATTGTTATTTACAAATTTCTTAACGCATCTATATTCACGAACATTTAACAAAATATTTATAAAATACTTAGTTCACGTGTAAACTTATAAACTCCTAAACACAAGACGATCACCATATAACAAACAAATTATCAGAGAAAAGATTAATCTGTAATAAATTCGTTGTTTAAATATTATGAAAAGATTAGATAAGTTTTATTTTAATTTGTTTTATCAAATTTGATCTTTTTTGTAAATTTCTCGTTTGGTATTATAATCTCAAATATTTACTAAAAATCCATAAAATACTTTCAAATCTTAAAATTTAAAATCTATAATGCTATCTAATCTTCAAATACTTTATTATAAAAGTTTTATAAGAAAAGATCTTAAGTAATTATATTTCAAATCCATAAATCTTCATACCTTTCAAATTTTCAATACAACGCATCTCTATTTATACAATATGCAAAAGCTGCCTGATAACTGAATTTTTCCTGTTCATGCAATCCGACAAAATTACAAGTCTCTAATATTCTTGGTCCAGGTTTCTAATATGTATTTTAAGATGTTCGGGAATAGTCAGCTGCAGCACAGAAAATAGAAACCAAACCGGCCATCCCAATCATCTGTGCCCAATTTCGCGTTCCAGTAGCAGCTGCGGCAGCAGCGCCTGTTACAGCACCCCCAATCAAACCATTGACCTGCCATGGAAATTTGAAAGTCATTTTGCGCAACTCATTGAACCATGGTCCTGTTATATTGTTTACTCACAACACAGTTTTCTAATGCCTACATATGCAATGCAACCATGCAAATAGACCAACATGCTTGGTACTGTGAAAAATAAAATGGTTATATCGGTAAGGTTCCAACACAAGCATATAAAAAAATGCAATATTATCTTCCATACAGCAGATCATTTGGTCAAAACAACCGATCATATGCAGTTTGTTCTCTGGTAAAAGGTTTAGCAGCAGAATAAGAATTCAATGTTCCTCAGAGAAATATATAACCGAGCACCTCATGACCTGCCACTGATCAACGCGGAGAGAATGATGATGCTCTGCAGTGTACAAGCAAGGAGTCATCACTGATCGAGCTTTAAAGATTATTAGAAGCAAAATTACAATGTCCTAATACAGTTTAAAAAAACTTTAAAAATAATAAATAATTTTAAAAGAATGATTTTAAAAAGTTTGTACATCAGAATAGAAAGATGAAATAGTGTAAGACAACTATGTCTATATGTAAATCATTCAATGATTGGGGTAATTTTTTTAAATGAAAAGGTCATACAGTTACTTTTGAGTAGAAAGGTTCTGCAATTATATATTTTCTCAAATAATAAAATTATTTTAATTTGTTAAAGAATAAAATTATCTAATTCAGAAATAACACAAAAAACAGTTATAAAATAATATATTTCTTCTTATAAATGGTATAGATAAAAGTGTAATTTATGTTTTTAAAGTTTTTACAAAAGGTATAAACTATTATTTAATTCGTTACGATTATAAAAAGCACACTTTATTTCAAAAGTTAGCTATAATGACAGCCGTTTTAAAACAGCAACTCAAAATAATAAGAAATCTGGTTTCTCTTAGATTCTGGTTTGTTCTTTCAAAAAAAGTTAAACAAACAAACTAAAAATCTTCAAAAATTATTTTTAATAAAAATAAAATTAAAACAAATGAGCTCTACAAGTTCAGATGGCCGGCCTCTCACGCATGCACATACAAATTGACAAAATTGGGCTAGCAACAATGCTCTGGAAATCATCAGAAAACTTTTTTTATTAAATTAAATACAAAATGAACTAAATGTGGCTAATCAGAGGGACATGGTGCCTTGGGGTTATGAGTAGTCGAGCTTTATAGTTGGAACATCCTCTATTGAAATTGAGATAGTATCATTATACCTGGCATGCAAAATATTTGTAAAGAGACTAGAGCCACAGGCGATTTTTATTTTGATGGTCAGTGGGGATCATACTTGAACAATCAATGAGCTCTACAAGTTCAGATGGCCGGCCTCTCACGCATGCACATACAAATTGACAAAATTGGGCTAGCAACAATGCTCTGGAAATCCTGAAGTATGTGCTTGGACATAATACATCATCAGAAAACTTTTTTTATTAAATTAAATACAAAATGAACTAAATGTGGCTAATCAGAGGGACATGGTGCCTTGGGGTTATGAGTAGTCGAGCTTTATAGTTGGAACATCCTCTATTGAAATTGAGATAGTATCATTATACCTGGCATGCAAAATATTTGTAAAGAGACTAGAGCCACAGGCGATTTTTATTTTGATGGTCAGTGGGGATCATACTTGAACAATCAATGAAGAGGATTTTAACAGATGCAATGTGAGACTAGAGGATGTGAGATCAGAGATATAGGTACAAAAGAGAGTTGTTCAAGAGCAGCAGAATATGAAATGAGACCTAAATTTGTTTGACCAGAACGCCTAGTCCTTGTTGAATTTGCTAATAAAATATTTTGTGTATTACAGTAACAGAAGCATTAGAGTTAATATTGAAACACAACCATTTCAATTGAAAAATATCATGGCACTGCATCTTCGATTAACCATATCCTTGTGAGGCAAGCTAAATCAAAGCAGTATCCCAAATGTATCTATCACCTAAATTTTAAAAAATAAATGACGAGATACTCACAGGTATCTAGGTATATTGCACATATGCGATTAATATTTTTTGCCAAATTTGGACTGGGCTGAATGGGTATTTTCATCTTTCAGCTTATACTTATTCCTTTTTGCTTATGTGAGTGGAGTGTCTTTGCAAGTATATCACACCCTGTCTACTTAATTGCTAAACTAGCAGGAAGCTCTCCGACATCACCAAGCAGTATGGAAACCATCCCCCAGGTACAGCCAAGAATAACTACCAATATCTAAACAGAAAGAAAGTTTAAACCAATCCAAGCCCTTTTATTGGCCTTAGTAGAAGCACACATTATATTGCCTGGTACTATATTTAAAGAGCTAAAGTCCAAGCTACAGTAAAGGTGTTCATTTGTCAAAAAAATTACAGGTCTAAGATTCATTATGGATAAGAAGAGAGCACCTTACTCACTCAGGTGTTTAAAATATGTGTCTAGGAATATCGTACTAGTGAGATCTTAATATTTTTTGCCAATTTTGGACTACATGGGCTGGATAGCTAGGTTTTCATCTCTCTGCCTATCCTCATTCCTCTTTGGTTACTTGTGCAGAATGTCTTTGCAAATATCACAGTCAATTTAAACCCTAAACCTTAAATCTCATACCAAGATCGATAATCCGGCAGAAAGCTCCCGGTAATCACCAAGCAGTATTGAGACCACCCATCACGTATAGTCAAGCATGACTGAGGTAACGTCTAAACCAATTCAGCAAGGGAAGCATAAAATCATAATTTTGTATGCACACTATTTCCTGACACTATCTTTAAAGAGCAAAATCAACGCGTCATCACAGTCTAGAATTGTTTAAAAAATGACTATGTTGCAGTGTTGTCGCACCACTTGCATGGCACATTCGCACCACTTGCATTGCACATGGCGATTGAATACTTTCTTGATCATTTGGAAACCAAGGTAAAAGACATAACAGAAAGAATGAGTACACTAACCCAATCATTCTGCCCCCTGTATTTCTGAACCCCGCATCGCGTAACGCTGAAAATGCCGGCTAAAAACCCTAAAACCCCAAATCAAGGAACATTAACGCTACAAAATATTATTACACTGCCCAAACACCATCTTGAGCATAGATAAATTACCGCATCGAATCCCAGACCTGCTAACCGAGTTTGCCTGTAATTGGTGACCCAAATTTAGTCATCAGCTCGCAGAAAACCCTACTAACAGCTATGGAAAAATTGAGAAAAAAAAAATCATTTACCACAAAAGAAGCTTTAGCAATGCCTGTTAGACCTGCACACATAAATGGATGATCAAGAATTAGCAACAGACAATCATAAGAGAATCGATGGTTACCAAAACCCACACTAGCCCCCACGTAGAAAAGAAAATTACCCTGTTGACGAGCGTCGTAGGGACCAGCGCACAAACCCCAGATTGCACCGGCCTGAAGAACAATTCAGAGTTTCTTTTATTAGGTCTATTATTTTGCGATTGAAGCAAGTGGGATAAACTATGTTACCGCTCCGACACGAATGATAGCCTCGACGGCGACTGAGGAGCACGGGGTTACACCGTCCAGGTTTTCTTCCATTTTTTCTCTCCGTCGCCGCGTAGGCGCGTAGAATAAAACAGTATGGGAGGGGCACGTTTTGCACAACTGGGCCTGTTTTGTTGGTCTCAGCCCATATTAAATATTTTCGGCCTAATACTTTGGACTGGGCTTTATAATAAACAGGTGAAACGGCAGGTGTCGCTGGCGTTTTAAAAGACAGAACCCTAGTTTATATTTTTCTGTGTTTGTGCGTCTGCTGCTTATCATCGTCACGAGGGAGAGAGTGTGTCCGAGAGAGAGAGGCGCGAAGATGAGCGGAGCTAAGGGTAAGAAGAAGGGAGCGAGCTTCGTGATCGATTGTGCGAAGCCGGTGGAGGACAAGATTATGGACATTGCTTCTCTAGAGAAGTTTCTTCAGGAGAGGATTAAGGTCGGCGGCAAGGCCGGTGCACTCGGTGATTCCGTTACCGTCACTCGGGACAAGAACAAGATCACTGTCTCCTCTGACAGCAACTTCTCTAAAAGGTACATTCTTCTTCTTTTTCTAATGTTTCATTCATCATCCTGCTCTTGTATGCCTTGTTTTGTTGTTTTATTCATCGAAGTGGATTCTTAACCTGCCATTGCATATATCAAAATCTAGGGGTTGTGTTTCTCCGTGTGGTTATTCATCGTTAATTGATGTTATCGCTTTGTTAAGCTGAGATATTCAAATTTTGGAGAGAATAGATCTAGGACTATGTTACTGACACTTAGTAAAATTTGAGTATAAAGTCTCTTGTATTTTAGGGTTTTGAACAAGTACTCTAATATATTCGGAAGTAATGTTGTGCTGTGAGATTGCGTAATGGGTATATTGTTACACGTGATTATCAAGTTGTGACTGATGAGATTGCTTACGAGTTGTTGTGGTTGTAAGTATGCTCTATCCTGTTTTTATCATGGAAAATATTGCCTTGAGTTCACAAAAGGGATTGTCTTTTTTATCATATCTGACTTTAAGAGTCAATTTTGTGACTTGGGAGATTTGTGGGTAGAAATGTTAATGAGTGTAAAGTCGTCTTGGCTTTGGATGATTTTATGCGTTAGTATTACCAACTTAAGTATATTGATTGTGTCATTAAGTTTTTTAATATTTAAATAGGAAAAAATCATTCATCGCGCACATTTGTCTCTATATGTCAATGAAAGTGGAACATACTGTAAATTTGTTTTCTCTTAAACTCGTATGAAATTAAATTCGTTTCTTTGTTGCCCAATTTCTTTGGATGCTAGTGAATTCCTTTCTTATATGTTTTCATTTACTTTTCTCAGGTATCTGAAATATTTAACCAAGAAGTATTTGAAAAAGCACAACGTGAGGGATTGGCTTCGGGTGATTGCATCCAACAAGGACAGGAATGTCTATGAGTTGAGATACTTCAACATAGCTGAGAATGAGGGTGAAGAGGAAGACTGAAGATCGTACTCTCTGTCTTGAGACATTTTCCCTTAGGTTTAGTTATTGTGGAGAGTCTCTTTTATCTTTGTGTTGTTTATTGACATTTTACTGGTTGTTTAAATATTCCTGTGTTTAATTTGGAATTGACTTTGTGCCTTCATATGAAGTTTTATAGTGATTATTGTCAAAAAATCAAAATTTGGGTACCATTTAGTGGGAGAGGTGTTTGGTTTACCTTCCCCGAATGAGGCATGAGGCATGAAATGGTTGTTCATGTAGATAATAATCACTTGTTTATTTGCCGTCGAGTACCTGCGCGTAATGTTACTGCTGATAACACAATTAATTTAACATCACCTCACAAATCAAAGGGATATCATGAATAATTTATAAATAGATGGTAGTAACGATGTATATTGATATCATTAAAAGGTGGAGAAATAATTACATAGATGTATTTTTGTAGCTGCTAATCTTTACATAATTAAGTTTCTTAGTCCACTTTGTAAATCAGATAATTGAAGGTCATACAGACATAGGCTGAAACTGATTGCTCGGAAAAAGGAGTATAATAGTTGGGGGTAAAGACTTCTGAGAAAGATTTTGTGTTTTAGGAAGTACGAATTATTTCTCAAATACAGTAGAAAGTATCAAGAACGGATTTGGTGAGGAAGAAATTTTTTGATGGAGAGCTTGAGAGGCCTTGTGATGATGAAGGATCGAGTGAGACAATGTTATATAGACTATTCTTTTTCTCAGATTTAACTTCTAGTGTGTATTATTTTTAAACAAACGAGTTAAAGGTTATTTTGTTTTCTACACTTTTTAAAATTATTTAGATTAGAATTAATGTTTTTGTTTCTTTAAAATACAGTTGTATTTTGTTTTAATTGATTTTTGGTCACTATTTTAGTACCCTCATTTAAAATACTTTTTTCTTGTAACATATTTTTTCAGTCTTCATCAATTATTTTAAATAAGTTAACTCAAAATGAACAGAATAATATAAGTATTAAAAAAATTATAAGCATTAAAATAATTAATAAAATTAAAACTAATTTTAATTTATGCAATGTTTTCAAAAGTGGAACGGTGATTAAATAGGGGAATTTAATAAATATATAAAAATTATTATCATAATTATTTTTTAGTTTTAAATAAAGTTATAAATATATTAAAAAATATAAGATGAATAATACTTAAAAGAAAATAATTATTATTTAAAATTAGAGTAATAGGAGATAAAATTATTAAAATATATTATCTTTTTTATAAAAAATTATATTAAAAATTTTAGTTTTTTTTATTCTAAAAATTTAGTTGATTTTTCTGACTTAATATTATTTTTATTTTATTTTGGTTTTGAGACCTATCTCCCGCCCAATTTTTAAAACAGTAATTATAAGTTAACTAAATAATAAATTTTATTAAAAAAAACATATTTTTACTTTATTATAAAAGTATAAGTTTATGATTTGCTTAAGCAGGTACATGCAATGCCTGGTTTGAGGAAGGCGATATCTTATACGCACCCGACACTTCACCTTTGTCACCCCAACGTCCAATCATTCGTTTGGAACAACCTCATTCGAGCCAGCTCCATAAGCAGAGTTGCAAATTCAGCCTTTCCTCCACCACTATCTCTCTACCTTCGCATGCGCCTCCATGCCGTGCTCCCTGATCTTCACACCTTTCCATTCCTTCTCCAATCCATCGACACCCCTCTTCCAGGATGCCAACTTCACGCTCAAATCTTCCTCCTTGGCCTCGCCAACCACTCTTTTGTTCAAACCTCCCTTATCAATATGTATTCTTCCTGTGCCACCCTAACCTTCGCCCGCCAAGTGTTCGACGAAATTACGCAACCCGACTTACCTTCGTGGAACGCCATCATCCACGCCAATGCTAAAGCGGGCATGATTCACATTGCGCGGAAACTGTTCGATCAAATGCCTGAAAGGAATGTCATATCGTGGAGCTGCATGATTCACGGTTACGTAACCTGTGGCGAGTACAAGGAGGCGCTTTCTCTGTTTCGTAGTTTGCTCACGTTGGGAGGAAGTAAACTCAGACCCAATGAATTCACCTTGTCGTCAGTGCTCTCAGCTTGTGCCCGGTTAGGTGCGTTTCAGCATGGAAAGTGGCTTCATGCTTACATTGACAAAAGTGGGATGAAAATCAGTGCTGTGTTATGGACGTCTTTGATAGACATGTATGCCAAATGTGGAAGCATTGAAAGGGCGAAATGCATATTTGATAAAATGGGTCGCGAAAAGGATGTAATGGCTTGGAGTGCCATGGTTGCTGCTTTTGCCATGCATGGACTCTCGGAGGAATGCTTTGAACTGTTTGCAAGGATGGTAAATGATGGAGTGAGGCCAAATGCTGTGACGTTTGTGGGTGTTCTTTGTGCTTGTGTACATGGAGGGCTGGTTAACGAAGGAGAGGAATATTTCACGAGGATGAAAAATCAGTATTGTATTAGTCCTACGATTCAACATTATGGTTGCATGGTGGATTTATACAGCAGAGTAGGTCGTATTGAGGATGCTTGGGATCTGGTAAAATCAATGCCTATGAAACCTGATGTGACGATATGGGGAACTATGCTTAGTGGGGCTAGGATGCATGGGGACATTGGAACTTGTGAGGTATCGATAACGAAGCTTCTTGAGTTGGACCCCACAAACAGTAGTGCCTACGTGCTTCTTTCTAACGTGTATGCGAAGCTTGGACGGAGGAAGGAAGCGAGGCATTTGAGAGATCTTATGGAGGTTCGGGGCATCAAGAAAGTTCCCGGGTGTAGTTTGGTTGAGATAGATGGCATTATTTGTGAGTTTTTTGCGGGGGATAGTTCAAATCCAGAAACGCAAGAAATATGTAGAATGCTTGATGAGATCATGAAGAGGACGGACAACCATGTTAACTTTCTGTAGTTTTCCTACGTTATTAATTCATTATAGAAAACTAATCTACAGGATCTTTAGATTATTGATTTTCACATTTGCATTACATCAATACATAAATCATAGTAAGAGAACTAACCTTGATCCATAAGAATCCTTTCTTGATCTTTTGTTCTCTAATCTCCTTTTCTCAATCTATCTCTTTGCCTTTCTTTCTCTTCTCACTTTTCTTTCTTGATGGTTTACCGTGAAAAGAACCTTATGGCCAGAGACAGAACCCTAATCCCTTTTATTAACCAACGTCCATCGAGTTGGTTACTTTCAGTTAATATTTTATTTTATCTTTATTTTATTCTGACTTCACATAATAACCAATAGGTCCTTATAATTATTAAATCACATTTGAGCCCATTATTTTATTTCACATGAGTCACATAATGGAATGAATTAATTAAATTAATTCTAACATTCTCCCACTTGACTCATGTGATATCACAAAATTTTGTGATTTAATACTTAAGTCATAATGCGCATTAAAGGACCTTACATAAATTGATTCTATCATTATTCATAATTAAAGATACAGCTATAACAAGAGTCATGGCGGTTACATATCATTCAATCGACAAGCTCCCTTCCATGTACCACTATATTATCTCTTTCTCCTTAATATGACTTTATAATGAGAAGTCCATAATGGGTTCAAACATAATATCATTTTAAAATAATAACATAATTTGTTTTCTTCATCATAATTTGCATGCATATAAATAAAGAAGAAAACACAAATTTCAGAAACTTATACATTAAAGATCTCAGAGTGTCACATAAACATTAATAATAACATTAACATTCAACATTCATTACTAGTAAACATAATGCCCATATTTACTATATGGCCGAGCAAACAACTTGGGCAGTAATCCCTTTGTTAAAGGATCAGCAATCATAAGATCAGTGCTAATATGTTCTATTGACACTCTTTGTTTACGAACTTCTTCTTTAACGGCAAAGTATTTCAATTCCATATGCTTAGCACCTTTGGAATACACTGTCGTTCTTAGAAAAGAAGACTAGCTGCGGAATTGTCACAATAAATTTTCAGCGGCTTGGCAATGCTTGTCGACTACTCCAAGTCCTGAAATAAAATTCCGCAACCAATTAGCTTGAACTGTGGCCTCAAAGCATGCCACAAATTCAGCTTCCATGGTGGATGCGACAATGACAGATCGCTTCGCACTTTTCCATGAAATCGCTCCTCCGGCTAAAAGATACACATAACCAAATGTAGACTTTCGTGTATCCATACAACCAGACAAAATCTGAATCCGTATATCCAATCACCTCAAGGTGATCAACTTTCCTATAAGTAAGCATGTGATTCTTTGTTCCTTGTAAGTATCTTAAAACTTTCTTTGCGGCCTTCCAATGATCCAGTCCAGGATTACTCCGGTATCTACCAAGCATACCAAGCTGCAAAGCTAATATCCGGCCTCGTACATGTTTGAGCATACATCAAACTCCCAACAACGAGATGCATAAGGGATATTTTCCATCTGTTTCCGTTCCAAGTCATTCTTTGGACATTGCATAAGACTAAATTTGTCTCCTTTACGTATTGGAACGGGAGATGCTTGAACACTTCTCCATTCGAATCTCTCTAAAACTTTATTAATATATGCTTTTTGAGACAAACCTAACAGATCCTTGTGATCTATCACGGAATATTTCTATTCCTATCACATAGTATGTCTCACCCATATCTTTCATTTCAAAGTTGTTAGAGAGAAACTTCTTAGTCTCACTTAATAGACCAAGATCATTAGTCGCAAGCAAGATATCATCAACATACGAGAATCGAAATATAAACTTGCTCCCACTCGACCTTCGAGATATATACACCGATCAACGGTGTTTTCCTTAAATCCAAAGGACAAAATAGTATCATTGAACTTAAGATACCATTGTCGAGAAGCTTGTTTAAGTCCATATATTGATTTCTTAAGTTTACACACCATATGTTCCTTTCCTTCTTCAATGAACCCCATCTGGTTGATTCATATAAACATCCTCCTCTAAATCTCCATTCGAAAAGCAGTTTTAACATCCATTTGATGCAACTCAAGATCATAATGAGCTACTTAATGCCATGATAATTCTAAAGGAATCTTTCTTAGAAAGCAGGTGAAAATGTTTCCTTATAATCAATGCCATCTTTCGAGTAAAACCTTTGGCAACAAGTCGGGCCTTGTAACGTTCGATATTGCCATGAGAGTCACGCTTAGTCTTAAAGACCCATTTACACCCAACACTCTTACATCCTTCGGCAATTCCACAAGATCCCATACACCATTACAGTGTCATTGATTTAAGCTCATCTTTCATAGCATCTAACCATTTATCGAATTATCACCATTAATGGCATCCGAAAATGAAACTGGGTCATTGTCAATACTTAGGTCATTTTCGACTCTTGTAGATAAACCACGTAATCATTCGAAATAGCGAGACTTTCTTTCTCGTGAGATCTTCTTAATACTATTTCCTGTGGTTGTTCTATTATCGGATCATTGTTTATCTCGGGATCATTAATTTGTTGTTCTTCTTGATTGTCGTGTGATTCTACAACAAATGGAACAACAACTCTTGAAGATGTACTAGTTATTGGAACTTGTACTCTAACTTCCTTAATCTCCACATTTCGTGAAGCTTCACTCCCACTTGGTTTCACCATTTTCAATGAGCCAGAGCATTTCCGGTTTCAACAATTCTTGTACTATGAGTAGGACGGTAAAACATATACCCCTTTGATTTTTACGGATAACCAATGAAATATCCACTGATTGTTCTTGCATCCAGTTTCTTTTCTTGTGGATTATAAATTCTTACTTACGCCGACAACCCCAAACATGTAGGTGTCTTAAAGCTGGGTTTCCTACTTGTCCATAACTCAAAAGGAGTCTTTTGAACAGCTTTACTAGGAACCATGTTCAACAAATACATGACGAGTCTTCAAAGCATACATCCACAACGATACGGGTAAACATGAATTACTCAACATACTCCTAACCATATCCATTAAGGTTCGATTACGCCTTTCGGACACACCATTTTGTTGTGGTGTGCCTGGCATTGTGTATTGAGCACAAATACCACGCTTCTCGAGGAACTTAGCAAACGGACCAGGGTGTTGTCCACTTTCATCATATCTTCCATAATACTCACCACCTCTATCGACCGACAATTTTCACCTTTACGTCTAATTGCCTCTCCACTTCGTTTATATAACTTTCTAAGGCATTTCTTGCTTGAGATTTCTCATATAGTAAATAGACATATCCATAACGCGAGAAATCGTCAATGAAAGTGATGAAATACTTCTCTTTATTAAAAGAATTTACGTCAAATGGACCACATATATCGGTGTGTATGATTTCAAGAAGTTGAGTGCTTCTTGTGGCTCCTTTCTTTGTGTGTTTTGTTTGTTTACCTTTAATACAATCCACACATACATTCGAATCGAGTAAAATCTAAATCCGGAAGGATTTCATTCTTTACTAATCTTTGCATTCTTTCTTTGGAAATATGTCCCAAACGCTTATGCCACAAATAAGCGAGATCTTTCATCCACCAAACTACGTTTAGTGTCAACATTATGATGCAAGGTCATGAGAGTTTCGACATATAAATTATCCAAATTCAATTTATATAAACCATCATAAAGTGTACCAGTTCCAATCATACATGTACGCTTAAATAAAGCTGAAACAACTATTCCCAAACTTAAAAGAGTATCCAGCAACATCGAGCTTAGACAAAGAAACTAAATTTCTAGTGATACTAGGTACATAAAAAGTATCCATAAGGTCTAAGTGATATCCGAGTGTCAAGGATTAAGCGATAAGTCCCGACGGCTTCCACTGGAACCTTGACTTTATTCCCCATGAAGACGAACTTCTCATTTGGGTTTATGGTTCGGGTTGAAAGGAATCCTGCATCACATTAGAAACATGAGTTGTACATCCAGAATCAATCCACCAAGTATTATGGGAAACTTCGAGTTAAATTTGATTCAAAACATACGTAAGCACTATGCTCACCTTTCTTTTCGAACCAAGCTTTGCGCTTTAAGCGATCCTTACGAAAATGTCCAGACTTCCGTAGAAATGACATTTGTCATTTTTCTTCGAATGTTAGTAGAGGACTCGTTAATCTTTAATGGTCCTTTACCCTTTCCATGTTTCTTAACAACTTTCTTTTTAGCTCCTTGATTTTTCACGTAATGAATAGAGTGGCTTCCTAGGTTCTTGAGTCTGGTCTCCTCCTGGACTAACATACTTGTGCAATTCATGCACATTCCATTTGTCTTTCATGGTGTTATAGTTCATCCGAAACGGACCATACTCGAGCGGTAACGAGTTCAAAATGAGCTGCACAAGGAAATTTTCTTCCACTTGCCATTCCAAGAGACTTCGATCTTCGCTGCGATATTTGTCATTTCGATTACGTGTTCATGCATATTACGAGAACCATCAAACTTCATGGTGGTCAACGTACTCATCAATGTCCCAGCGAGGATTTGTCGGCGGTTTGAGAGCGCTCTTCCACAAATTTCATGAACTCTTTCGCATCCTCGGTTTTGGGAAGAAGCGGACTTAATATTGCTTGCTACACTCATTCGCATAAACATAAGGCTAAGTCTGTTTGATCTTTCCCAAACTCTATAATGAGTTTTCTCTTCATTACTACTAGCATCGGTGATAGCAGTAGGTTTTTCAACTTGGAAAGCCAAATCAAGATCCAACACACCTAAGTGAAATTGGACTTGTTCACTCCGATCGGGGAAATTTAACCCATTAAAGGCTGGAACAGACGAAGATAGCGAATGCGAGCTACGAGAACGAGATACTGCAATTACCACATGCCTAACATTAATACTTTGAGTCATAAAATTAAACATAAATACTAGATTCAATCATAAATTACCATTCTCTGCATACTAATGTTCTCCTTTGGGAGATCCACCAATACACAAACATAATTACGCTAATCATTTTATAACATTAATGATAATTAAAATATGCATCAACTAGAATCACCTAATACCTTTGGGTATATAAATAAAACTAGTGACGCATAGAAAATTATCTACTTTCATGTTCATTAATTATAATAACAATTAATCAACCTTTGGGTGATCCTAAAATGTCTTATAATAATGAACTTCAATTAACCCATAAATCAATTATTCAAAATTTTAGCGTTCATACTATGGGTAATTGAAATAAAATCACTAATAATTTGAAATTAAAATAACCTTAAAATTTTGGCCACTTTGGTGACTAACAAAATTTATCATACTTAATTTCAAATAAAATAATAACTTTAATTATTATTAATCATTTATAATATTTTCTATTATTATTTATTTATTTATTTAGCAATAACTAACCATAATTCATTCACGTATCCTATTTTGACCTCCACATTAACATTTACGTTTCATCTCATTTTATGCAACTCGCGCACCTAATATGCAAGCTGCGCACGTTGACGCACGTTAGCGCACCTAATATGCGTCATTTTATGCAACTGGCCCACGTAATATGCACTCCCAACGTTATGAGCATCTAATTTTACGTGCAGGTAAGGAACTGGCCCACGTAATGCTTAGGTGCAATTGTTGCAAACTGGCCCACGTAACTGGCGCGCAGGTAAGGAACCCTTGGCATGTTTGCAACAATTTGCGCATCTAATTAATATGCAACTGGCGCACAACATTTTAATCAAATACATGAACTCCTTCAATTGCCCAGGTCCCTCATTTTGATCCATCATTAATTGATTGCAGCGAAATTAATTACATTATCAAAACTATTATTGACGCCAAACACTAAAATACGTAATTTTTCTTTTCAATTAACAGGATTGTTTAACCATTGAAACACATAAATTATCAAATTGATTTCAATTTGAAATTAAATGCAACTTTATTCATAAATTAGGGCTTATCTTTTTATTCAATTTGGGAAAAACATATTATGGGAATAAATTAGGGTTCATGCTAATATAATTGAAAAATCCCTAAATTCATAATTAGGGTTAATCTTAATTTGAGAAAAACATAATTTGGGAAAAATTATCATAAGAGAAAAATCATAAATCTAAGAAACTAAGCTCTGATACCACATGTTAACTTTCTGTAGTTTTCCTACGTTATTAATTCATTATAGAAAACTACTCTACAGGATCTTTAGATTATTGATTTTCACATTTGCATTACATCAATACATAAATCATAGTAAGAGAACTAACCTTGATCCATGAGAATCCTTTCTTGATCTTTTGTTCTCTAATCTCCTTTTCCCAATCTATCTCTTTGCCTTTCTTTCTCTTCTCACTTTTCTTTCTTGATGGTTTACCGTGAAAAGAACCTTATGGCCAGAGACAGAACCCTAATCCCTTTTATTAACCAACGTCCATCAAGTTGGTTACTTTCAGTTAATATTTTATTTTATCTTTATTTTATTCTGACTTCACATAATAACCAATAGGTCCTTATAATTATTAAATCACATTTGGGCCCATTATTTTATTTCACATGAGTCACATAATGGAATGAATTAATTAAATTAATTCTAACAAACCATGGTTATGCCCGTAATACTGGGGAAGTGTTACTTGATTTGGACGAGAACAAACCGTGTGGAAGGCTAGGCCATTGAGGCCAAAATGATTAAGAATCTAAATTTGTTAAGAATATTAAGTCTTTTCTCAACTTTACTGCACATGCCCTAAGAAGGAGTTTGCGTTGTCCCTTCATAGTGAAAAACTGGCTATTGCATATTCCCCCGGGTATCACAATTCGGATTGCTGAGGATATGTCACGACTGTCATATTGGAATCAAGATTATATGTTCGAATTTAATAGGGAAATTGTACTTAGAGATAGCAACTGGTGTTACCATTTTAAAGTTGGGTTTTGCTCCTGCATAGACAACTGGTAAATATAATGGAATACTCCAGCATAAATTTTGCAGAAATTTGGGATTTTATCTTTTCAAATTCAAGCAAAAGGAGCACTGATAAATGAACTAGCAAATTCCAACATGATATTAAACCGGGTATGTCCAGTTTGTTTTGGTCTACTCCTCTTCATAGTAGTAGCATTGAACTTATTGTACATGTGTTGTTATTATGTTACTGAAACTTAACACTTAGAAGCGAACTCAACTTAACCCAGGAACTTAATTTTTAAATTTAAGTTAAAATTAAGAATCTAAAAATTCATTTAGCAATAAGTATAATATTAAATCATGTTAAGAATCCCAAATTCAATCAGTGTGTAATGCTTCAAACAGATAATATATCATATAACGTACATTAAGTTTAATAAAATTCATGTCATCAGTTGGTAACATTATATAATGCATAATATTATATGATCATTTTTAATACATACAAAAATCTGACAATAAACATAGAACAATTTTCTTAGTTGAATCATATTGCAGGACAAAAGTTGGAAATATTAGAATTAATAGATGTATTTAAAATGTGAATCGATAATAATAGTACAAAATAAACAAATGCAAGTACAAGTACAATATCATTGCAAAAGCACATATGAAATAATATATCTAAATAAAAATGAAGAAATTTTAATTTAACCGGTCTTGAGTTGGGAAGTTTGACTGTTGCATAAAGGAAATCTTGCTGTCTTCTCTTCCCTAATTGATTCCACAAATAAATGAAAGGATAAGATGTTAAAATTGTTTAATTTGTCAATTTATTTTTTAAAATTATGAATATAAAAATTTTAGGCCAACTACATTTGTGAAACTATTTTTTTCATTATATGTTTTCATTTTATAGAAAATATTTCTCCTTTTCTATATTTTTGTCATGTTAGTTTATTATTATATTATTATTTGAAAATTTTCAATATAAATTTCTCTCGGTCATATTTCTTGTCCATGACCGTTGAAATATATGATATTTGTCTTGTTCCAATAAACCTGACCAAAAGTATTCAAAACTAAAAGTGAAAGTGTTTTGCTCCTTGAGACGTTATGATTTTATTTTTTATTTTTGCTAGTTTGTATCTCGATATATATATATATATATATGTATGTATTTTATATCATATACATCGTCCTAAGGATCTTGCGAAAGATATGTGTCGTGAACGTAGCAATAATAGGTAAGTTACGTGATTTTTGGAATGTTAAGATATCATGCATATCTACGAAAATGGATAACACAGTAAAATATATGCTATCTCAAACTAATGAAAAAAAATACAATTATCATGGTAGATAACCACTTAACCATTCAAACATGTTTTCCTTCATTATAAACTCAACAGTTAAGAATGAGGGTTTGAAAAAAAAAACTCAACTTTTTAATTTTAAAAGTATTAAAATATAAAATAAAAATTCAAAATTTACCTTTCCAATCGCTTTCCTTCTAAATTTTGACTATCAAACAAAGATATTTACCCTAGCTTTATCAAATATCTCATTCTAAAAAATTATTTTAATATAGAATATGTTATGAAACCGAATAAGACCAATAAAATATAAGAAAAAAAAAGAATAAAATCATAAATGATAATAGAATTTTACTGTAAGAAGAAATTATACTATTATTTTTAAATTTAAGGAGAAAATAATATTTATCGTGCTTAAAAAAAAGAATCCAACCACTATAAATACACTACTAGAAAAATTACAAAAAATATTGGTTTTACTAAGACAAAGTCAATAGGAACTCATTACAATCCATAAAAAAATATAAATGATCGAGAGATTAATGACAAACAAAAATTCTTCAGAATTTAGTAAAAAAAATTATCAACAAATCTCATGGGTCTGCCTGAAAAATTCTCTTAATTATTATTGACGAATGTTGAGTTATGAATAATTGTCGATGGATATATCTTTCAATAAAGTATGATGAAGATTGTGTTTCATGTGATACCTTCCGATAGATAAATCGGTTGATAATTATCAAATGCTTAAATCTTATTTTGTTCTTTGCACCATTTACTGATTGGTTTTCATAGATAAATTTTTCATATATATATATGTATACCACTAGTACCAAATGATTCAATTTTAAGAAAATATAATTCAAATTAAGCATTATTAAACTCAAATTGTTTACAATCAAACAATATGTCTAAGTATCTAAGTATAGTTATAAAGTATAATAAGATTATTAGTAGGAAGAATAAGTTTCAATATAAAGTGTTCATATATATTTGAAAACTCCTTGTATAACAACTCTTATAATTGAGAAAATCAAAGTAATAATAAAAGATAAGATCCTTGCAGTCTTCTTCACATCTTCTCCCACCTATAGTACTGGATTGTTTGATCTTTTCTGTTTCTTTCAACTTCAATACCTTCTAATTCTTTCTTTTGATACATTTTAAAATTTGTATATAACACCTACAAACCAAGTTTCTTTATATCAATCATTTCTCCAAATTCAGCATAAAGAAAAACAATATTTATATCTCCTAATAATAATCTTGTGAGTAGTGAAATCCCACAAGAAATACCTCTTGCATTGTCAATATAGTCCAAGAATCTACCCTTTCCAGATTTTGGATTCATTTTTTCTTGAACTTTGAAAGCATAAACTTTCTCTTGATACGGTATACCCATAATTTTCTAGAGTAATCATCATCACTAATACAAAATATTTTACTCCTTTTAAGGATAATATCGTGTTGGAAAATTAATATTAATAATAATAATAATAATCCTGATTTTGATTCCAACGATCAAACATAAACGTAATCCTATACTGATAAACATGTCGTAAACTGAATGCGAAAGCGTACCTGAATTAGCCATAATGATGATGTCTTTGTAGAGCACTATATTGATCTTATGATCTTCCACCTGAAGAGCACTTGTATTTCCCTCTTGATTTTCTCTCTTGATGGGGATAGAAAGAAAGGAACAGGAATGAAACTTACGTTCTGTTTACGTGCTCCCAGAAGGGGACCACGACCCCTTAAAATAACCAGAATTAGGTTAATTACTTAAGTTTTAGTATTTCTAATTTGACCCCTTATCAAATTAGAAATTGCTCAATGGTCTCTACACAATTTTATTTTCATGACATATGCCTTTAGTCAAAACTTTAATTTAGTCAGATCACTTTATTATTTGCCTTAATAAATAATTACCCTAACACATTTAAATTATGTCTCATATATATACATGACCCAAATTTTGTCAACAATCTCCCACTGGTCACACATATATATGTCCTTACAACCTTACAAATGTGTTAGACTTTATGAGCTCAAAATTGTCATTATATTCCTTTAGCATAGTCCAAAAGTCATGTCCATTAATCATATCGAATATAGAACCAAACCAGACTTTTCATTGCATCATCGCAATTAAAACCAACAATGATTACTCATCCTGACATAACCAAATGACATGGATTCATCATGAAATGTGTAGCATGAAAAATTACGTGAAGGTGATTTGTACACGTCTATTTTCAACTGGTCCAAACTTTAACTTATCGAGATCGATATAATATCCTTAATGTACAAAGTGTAATGAATGAACGAAAAAACCGTATATCTATAGATAACCAAATATGTCCAAAAAAACAATGTATAGATATATGAAATTAAACATAGAACATAAAATATATGAAAGTGACTAACTCCCACTAAACCACAAATTCCTCAAACTGTAAAACACCCATGTGAGCAACATGCTCATGAAAGACCTTGGGCGGAAGTCCTTTAGTTAGATGATCTGCTATCATGGAGTTTGTCCTTAAGTGTTCTATGAAAATCTGTCCACTTTGTACTCTTTCCTTAATAATATAGCTGATTTGTTGTCATAATATAACTTAAGTGGTCTTTCAATGCCTTTCACAAATTGCAGCCCTGTGACAAAATTTCTCAGCCATATTCCATGATTTGATGCCTCATAGCATGCTACAAATTCTTGACATCCTGCAAAATTTAAGTCAGAAAACCCAGCGATCTCCAACTGGTCTGACCTCCTGTATGTGAGCATATAATCTTTTGTTCTCTTTAAATATCTTATGACCCTTTTTGCTGCTTTCCAATGGTCTATTCCTGGATTGCTAAAATATCTGCCTAAAACCCCAACTATATATGCTATGTCTGGATGCGTACATACTTGGGCATAGATCAAACTCCCTACAACTGATGCATAGGGAATCTTTTGCATTTCCTCAATTTTCAAATTCTCCTTTGGGCACTGATTGAGACTAAACTTGTCTCTCTTTAAACTTGTGATACACACAATCATCAACAATATTCATCTTGAAGCCAAATGAGTTTCATACCTTCTAGTAATGGGACAAGTTCCCAAACCTTATTGTCTTGCATGGACTTATACTTCTCCTTCATTGCTTCAATCCACTTTTGAGAGTTAGAACCTTGCATAGCTTGACGGAAGTTAACTAGGTCATCTTCCATTATATCATTGTTTTCCTCATATTCCTAAAGAAATACCATGTAATCATCCGAAATAGCATTTCTTCTTTCTCTAGTGGATCTCCGCAAAGTTATTGGCTCATGATGCACAGGTTCTTGAGGATCTTGAGTTTGTTCTTCATGAACAACCAAATCATCTTGAGTAAGGGGTTCATTAACAATGCATTGTGAAGGTTCCGAACTTACTTTATTAAAAGTAACTGTTTGAATCGGTTCTGGAATTGTTACCGATTCTTTCTCCAAGGCAAAGTTCTTGATTTTATTCTTCCCCCCAAAACTCAATATCCTCAAAGAACGTAGCAGTTCCGGTCTCAAAATTTGTCTTTAATGTGGGATCATAAAATTTATATCCCCTGGATCTTTCAACATAACCAATAATATAACTACTTACTGTTCGGGAATCCAATTTCTTTTCATTTGGCTTATAAGGCCTTGCCTCAGCTGGACAACCCCACACATGGAAATTTTTCAAACTAGGTTGTCGCCCAGTCCAGAGCTCATAAGGTATTTTGGTAGTTGCTTTAGTTGGTACTCTGTTTAGAATATAAGTTATCGTATTTAGTGTCTCTCCCCAAAGTGATTCCAGTAAGGTGGAATGACAAATCATACTCTCTACCATATCTTTAAGAGTGTAACACAAGCCCAAACGTTACGATTCGATTGTGACCTGAGCACTTGTGCCATAATGCACCTGATTGAGTATTTTCAATTTTACGTTTAGTACCACGTGTTTCTGTATTAAGGGTTTCATTATAGGTGGCCACAATATCAAGTAAATATTGATTATCATAAGTCAAAAGTGAAGTAGTTCCAACAATATCTGAATTAAAAGACAAACTGAACTTATTGTTTCCAAATGAACACAAATAACCTAATTTGTCCAAATAAGAAACTGAAACCAAATTCCGTCAAAATGACGGCACAACAAAAGTGTCTTTCAAATCCAAATAAAAAACCAGTACTCAATAACAATTTAAAATGCCCTATAGCTTCCACCTCTACCGATTTTCCATCTCCAACATAAATCCATCTTTCAGAATCAATTGGCTTCCGGTAGATTAGGCAACCCTTTCTTTTCATGCCAATCATGATATTTAGCATATTTCTTCTTTACGTGTCCAGTCTTATTGCAAAAGAAACATTTGTTTTCTTGAGTTTATTTCTTTTGTTCTGGACTCTTAGCACCTTCTTTCTCGAGATCCTCTGATCTCTTTCTTTTGCCCTTAGCCTTGGAGGTGCTTGCAAAATGAGCACTTTCTGTCTTGTCTTGCTTTAGTCTTTCCTCTTCTTGTACGCAATGTGAAATGAGTTCATTAAGAGACCATTTATCCTTCTGACAGTTGTAAGATACCTTAAATTGATTAAACGTTGCAGGAAGAGAAATTAACACCAAATGAATGAGCAAGTCTTCTGAGAGTTCAAGCTTTAGTGCCTTGAGTTTAAAAAAAATATTAGACATGTTCATAATGTACTCCCTGATATTTTCTTTGCCTTGATATTTCATGGAGATCAAGTTCTGAAGAAGAGTGTTTGCCTCCGCCTTATCGCTTTTTGCAAAGCGCTGCTCAATTTCAGCAAGGAATTCTTTGGCACTTGTGATGTTTTCAGAAATAGTGCCCCTAAACACCACCGGGATGTCGCACTTAATGATCATTAGACTCATGCGATTTGAGCGATCCCACTTCTCATAATCTCTTTTTTGTTCAGAGGTACTTGAATTCGTAGGAGTAGGGGGTTGCTCAGTCCTTAACGCAAGATCCATATCCATGCAACCAAAAATAATATCAATGTTCTATTTCCAGTCCTTAAAATTTGTTCCATTGATGACCGAAACAGAATTTAAATTGGCAGATACAAAAGTAATTGTAGCTGAATTTAGAACATGAGAAATAAACTAATTATGCTCACATTATATAAAAAATAAATAATATATATTCAAATAGTGGTTTAACCCATCTCA